ACCTATTGTATGAGAACAGGCAAAAGACACTTCCATGAGGTCCCAAGAAGTTTTGGTAAAATTAAAATGCAACAAACAAATGATTTACTACTGTTTTTTGGACAAAGGAAAGTATCCACCTTTCCCCACAGCCACCACCTCCCTCATGCTTGGAAAAGGTGAAAGAGATGGTGGAACTGCTGACGTACTAGTGAATTGCGCCAGAAAAGTGAATGCTAGTACTGCAGTAACTCCAATCAAATTTTGCCAACAAAAAACAATAACAGCTATAGCTTACAGCAAGAACAACGTTTACTATACGGTTAATCAGACTTCGTCGTTTTATGCAAATTAGCAGCAAATAACCCTTCGTCATGGGATAAAGAACTGGAAGAATTGTGTGTGTGTGTGTGTGTGAGTGAGAGAGAGAGAGAGAGAGAGGAATTTCATACCTGAGCATATATTTGTTCGGCCCTCTTTGATAATGCTTGTCTCTTGTAAATAGTCCAAAGAATCCAGAGCAGTGCTGAAAACTTGGGTACAATAATCAATTGAACTGCCTTTAAGCAAACTGCATGACTAAGATGGTAATGCTATAGACGTACCAGGACACCAAAGGCTGTCACAGACATGATATTTCCTGAGGATCCATTGCCGAATTTTACAGGTCAGGGGCCTATAAAGCTCGGCAACCAGGTCTGGACATTTAAACTCTTCGACTCTAAACAAGAAAGGGGAAACAGCACATACGTAAAGAGAGCGTACATATAGTCAGAGATAGGGGGAGAAGTAGTGGTGAAGCATACCCGTCGGAGCTTAATGTTTTCTCAAAGAAGGCCCGCGCACTGTCCAGAACCTTAATTTTTGCAACCTTAGCTCCATCCTGACTTAGGCCCACAAAACCCCTGGATAACAGCTCATCAGCCATGTTTAAGATATCGAGCTCTTGGAACTGAAAGCGAGGCAACAGAAGTACACGAGGATGAGGGCATGGAAAGCAGGGGGGGGGGACATAGTCGTAATGAAGAAGATGAGGATGGGGAGCAGTAAAACGAAAACAGACCAAGATTTTGGCAGGTTGGCCACATAAAGCACGGGCATATTGATCGCAGATCCTCCGCTCTAGCAACTGTGACTATATAGAGATATGTGGAGAAGCAGTAAAAGGAAGGTATGCATAGCAAAATGAGAGGGAAAGGAACAAGAGAGCAAGCAAAGGGGCAGTACAATCTTGGTAGCAGTTTGGCTGACCAGCCCATCCTCTATGCACAGGTTGCCATATTTGTTGAATCCCTGGACGCACTCCAGGTTTCCGTCTACGCATCGTCCATGGGGAGGGCATGGTTGGCATGAATCTGCGTATTATTAGTATAATCAGCTACAGCTAGCCAAAGGAAAAGAAACGGAATACGCGCGAGAGATCGAGAAAGCAGTGAGTGAGTGAGTCACCATGGTGGGTATAGGCGGCGCCGCCGCTGTCGCACAAGGGTTTGGGGCGGCGGTTGAGAAGGCTGCAGGCAGCGGCTGCTGCGGCGGCGATGGAGACGACGGCGAGCAGGCGGAGGAGGTCGTCCCTAGCGGGGAAGAGGCCGGGAGGGGGCTCGCCGAGAGGCCACCGGGGATTTGGACCTGCGCCGCGCCCGCGACGGCATCGGCATGGCTCCGCCGCCGCCTGCTCACACTTGCCCCTTTTGCTGGTATATCATCGAGTCGACGGGATGCTGGGCTGGAGCCTGGACTGGGTTGGTCTTGGATTTGATTACAAAGTTTTGTTGAGGAAAAGGTCCAATTGGACTCCCTAAATATTTGTATCCTCAACCCCAAAACCGACATAACACTCCTCCCTTACTATTTCGATAGTTATTTTCTCTAACGTGGCATCCTTTTCTTTAATAACGGCTGTCATGTGGACGCCACGTTAGTAAAAACCATCAATACCACCACCACCGAGTGAGTCATTTTTATACGGTTCGAGTGGTTCATATACCCATTTTAGCGAATGAGGGATTTGAGGGAGTTGTATCAGACTTTACCAAATCGTTGAAGGCCAGGCTCTTCTCATGTCTGCGCTGGGCTCCAAGGCCACGAGAGGCTGTGACGTCCACTAACAAGAAAGAAGAAAGAAAAAAAAATGAAGATATGGAGAGAGACAGCATCATCTGCTCTATAATTCACAAAGTCTATTTACTCATTCATCATTGGACAAATCTAACGGATGCGGATAATACGTATTTACTCCGTACCGCGCCTGCCCCCTCCAGTTTTCGCTCGTGTCGTGACGTGTTGGCCAGAGCCAGATCAGTGATGGCAGCATCGTCGCACTCTCCGCGCACGTCATCAAGATCTCCTTGTGGAGTCCAATCGCCATCGATCCCTACTGTGCTCCCGTTTTCACCACTGCGCAATCCTGTGGGGTCTCCTGTCGATCTCTTCCTATCATATGTATGTTTCTGCAGAGAAGGTGGCGTTGTAAAGATATAGTTTATACATCATAAATCAATCTATAATTAACCCACCATAGTGTAAATGTCGGAATCTTATAATTTAACTAAGATTTCGTTTAGATATATTTTAGTCCCGAGACATATTGATCCATTCACATATATGATCAAAATTTTACTTAACTTCCCTAGACTATAGAGACAACTTCTAAAATATCAAAATCCACCTCTATTATCCGGATGCTTCTATTGCCAAGTCACGAAATGAGTTTTTGCCACGAACGCACCCAGTACACTCCAATATGTCCAAAAATCATGTTTTGGTGCTTTTTGAACTTTTTCATTCCAGATAAAAACAACACACCCACGTGTGCCAATATCGGCATTAATTGATAAAAGTTCGTCGCGCGAGTCACGAAGTGAGTTTTTGCCACGAACGCACCCAATACACTCCAATATGTCCAAAAATCATGTTTTTATACTTTTTGAACTTTTTGATTCCGGTATATAACATCGCACCCGCGTGTGCCAATATCGACATTAATTGACAAAAGTTCACCTCGCGAGTCACGAAGTGAGTTTTTGCCACGAATGCACCCAATACATTCTAATATATCCAAAAATCATGTTTTGGTGTTTTTTGAACTTTTTCATTCCGGTTAAAAATAGAAATATGTGGCACACAAAAGATTCATTTCTAAATAATTAGTATAGTGAAAAAGGACATAAGAGAACTATGATATAATTGTACTTCTATATTCCTAATGTCTAAGTATACACTTAACACATACAAGCTTACAAGGCTAGGACTTAGTTATAGGCACCCATGTACTACCGAGAGAATACTCCCTGCTGATCTGCCAGCGTGGTTATAGAATTTACGCACTCTTACGTCATACCCGAATTGGAGGAGTACAAAGGACGGATTGGCCTCACTTTTCATGGGACATATCTGCATCCAATGGCATTTATCTAAGCACCATACTTATGCTAGTAAATAATGACATTAATTCCCCTAGAACTCCCACTATATGGATGGACAAGTTAAAGCTAGAACAGCCCATCAAGGTCATTGGATCGTTATCGTACCATAGATGACTAGTCTAATCAAGTGAAACATGTAAATAAAGTATATTATATTTATAAAGCATATAACTACTAAAGTAGTATATGAATTATAAACACAGGAAGGTAAAAAAAAAGATAATTCTATTAATTCAACTATAGTCTTACAAGGAGAGAATGGAGAGGGTAGAAGAGGAAGAGTAACAAGGTTAAGGAGGAAGAAGAAGATGAGCCCATTCAGTTGTATTGCAATCGCCCCTGAAGGAAATTACCAACTAACGTACGCGCGACAAGAAAAGAAGGGAAATGAGGGAGAAAGAACCTACCAAGGGTAAAACAGTCATTTCGTATCACCAATCCATGCTGACACGTAGATGTGTCATGCCACATAGACAAGAGTGGCAAAAAATATATTAAGAACTCTTATTTGTCCAACGATAAAAACGTAAAGGAATAAGTCCAAATACCCAACCCCCTCCCCCCTCACAAAAAAACATTAATTCGAAGTCCATTTAGCACCTAAACTTTAAACCGGATATTTAACTTCCAAACTTTGCACTACCATTCATATAAACTCCTAAGACGGGTTTGCAAAGTGTTTTTTTTATCAAATTTATATGTACGTTGGATAAGTTTGATGACGTGACATACACATTGTGCATATATGGTAAAATCTTTATTTAAATATTTCTTTTCACTTCCTTGCTCACTGACTTATAGAAGAGTACCAATATAATAAAAGTGTGACATCGCTATGATATAAATGGATGAGATACGTAAAATATATTAATATGCAAAATCATCCTACGGGTAATACGAATGGTATAGCAAGGATTGGCGTCCAATTTTAAATTTTAAGGTGGTAAACGGATTTTTATCGAAAGTTTTTATTCGGAGGGTATTTGGACCTTTTTACAAATTTAAAAGTGGCATTTAGAGAGTTGATACTTTTTATGTCGCAAAGTAATAATTTAAATGATGTATGGTTTTTGTGCTTGTTGAATTCGTTTGAGAAGAAAACAAAATTAGTAGTGCCTAAATTGGCGGGAGTGCCCTTGGGCGGGCTGCCGCATGCGACCACACACTTGTTGGCGCCCGCGTGGATCTCTCCATCTATACATGGGTGTTCGTCCACACATGTCTTGTTTAAAACCCAAAAAAAAACAAAAAAATAGATGCTCACAGATAGAAAGAAAAAGGAGGAGAGCAAGAATGAGAATGAGCAAGGCCCTCGCCGCCGTGGTGGCCATCTCCGTGAGCCTGAGCGCGGCCGCTATGGGCGTGGACGCGACGGTGGAGAGCACCTGCAGTGACGCGGCCGCCAGCGACAAGCGCGTCCACTTGGCGATGTGCCTGTCGCAGCTGGGGCACCACCGCGACGCGGACGCGTGGGGGCTTGCGAAGGCGGCAACCCTGGTGGGCGTGGACAAGGCGGACCTCGCCGCCGATGACATAAAGGAGCTAGAGGCCGGGGCAAGCACGGCGGGCATCAAGCCAGCGCTGGCGGAATTCGCGAAGCAGTACCGGGGCCTGGGCTTCGCCTTTGCCAGCGCGCACGACGTGATCAACAATCGCGCCTACGACGTCGGGGAGAAGAAGCTGGACGAGGCCCTGTCCCTGACGCAGAAGTGCAACGCCGCCTTCGCCAAGATCGGCGTCCCGCTGCAGCAGCCGCTGGCCCAGCTCACCGCCGACACCATCCAGATCGCCATCATAGCTAAGGCTATCACCTGCCTCGTCAACGTCAACAATAATCCAGCTCTGGTTGCGGCTGCGGCTGCGGCTGCTGCAGCCAAGGCTCCCCAACAGAGCCAATACCCATAAATTTAATATCATATCATCCCTTTTTATTTGTTTTTTGGTTTTGGGCACAAATTCTGCCGGTGCCTTTGCTTTGAAAGACTACTAAATATTTTATAAATTCAAAACAACAACTACTCCGTAGTAGTGTACTACTCCACAAGCGATTGAAAGCCAAAAAAAAGATACTACTAATTGATTGATTGGTTGATTGATTGATTAAGGGGATATATGTGAATGAAGAATCAGGCCCAGACTCTCTTCTTGGGGATAAGGTCGACCGTCTTGACCTTGTCTATGCGAGCCGCGACGATGAAGTCATTGACGGTGAGGCCGCCGGCGGAGGGCGTCTGCAGCTCGGCCCTGACCTGGTTGGGGGCCTCGAAGACGACGGTGGCCGGGGCGCCGTCAACCGCGGCGTTGATCCTGGCGACGAGCTCGTGGCCGCAGGCTTCGTCCCTGACCTTCCAGACGCACTGCAGACGCATGCCGTCGGCGTCGTCGAGGAGGCGCCAGCCAACCACCTTGTGGAGGAGGCGGCGGGCTTCGGCAGCGTCGACGGGCGCGGGGTTAGGCTCGAGGGGGAGGCGCGCGATGGAGAGCACGGAGAGCGTGGGGATGAGGATGTTGTGGAGGGTGTCGACGTTGCCCAGCACCCTCTCGCCGAAGTTGCTCTCGATCTCCTCCGGGAAGGGGTCGCGCGCGCCAAAGTCGCCCAGCAGGTCGGCCATGGCCACCACCACGCTCTTTTGCTTCCTCCGCACGGCGAGCTGATGAGGCGGCGGCAGAGGAACCCGCCGTCCGAAGCAGCAGGCTGCTGCGGCTGCCGGCGCGAGGATGTGGTTGGTGAGCGCCATTGGATTGGATTGGAATGGCGATGAGGAACAGCTGCAGCCACCAGTCCACCACTCCACTCCAGCAGCGAGCCTCATCCTTTATCGTCATCGCCACACAGGCCCATGGGCCCACGCACCCCCCACTTCCTTCCTTCTAGTCCCTTCCAGTAGTACCATTCTTCTAGCCCCTTCCTCCATTTGTCCTTCATCAGCCGGCCACACATTTTTTTCTCTCTTCAAACATCCACTACTACTGGACTACCTTCGACAGAAAGAAGGGCTACATTTCACAACACCAAAGCACCACTAGCATCAATCCAAATGGTTGACTATTCAAAGTATAACAACATTACACAAACAAACATTGACAGGAAAAGCAACTCCTCGTGTATTTTTTCCCTTTTTCACGAAAGATAATATACAAGTCATACATGACAACCCTCATACGTCTGGAATACGATTCCTAGCGCACTCTTAAAAAATATGGTTAATTAGATCCATGCCATTAAAATTATGCAAGTTTCGAAACATGTCATTAATGTACGCCCGCTATGTTGCCCTGGGAGCTCAAGGTGCCGGAGAGCACCGGGTAGGTCCACCCGGGGCTCTTCACAAAGGTCGGCCTTGTCGCGTCAAGCACCAAGGTGGTCGTTGACGGCGAGTTGGAGCGCGTTGGGCAGCTGCTAGACGGAGGAGGCTATGAGGGTACATCAGGCAACGTTAGTGCAATGAGGGAGGTTGGAAGGAAGGTGCACGAGCTCGCCAGAGAGGAGAAGCAGCCGCTCTTTCCTCGGTCCTCGTTGCTTCGACATCGTCGTTGTCGGTGATATGGGCCCGGGGGTATGCGAAGTATGGGGAAGTCTCCTTCCCGTCCAGCCACGCGACCCTACAGCCTGGCTCTCCCCTCACATCTCGGACGACGCAGAGGCAGCCAGGGGGCCTCGGGGTGCCACGTCAGACCCCTCGGGCCCTCGTGCTACCTCGCCCCGAGGCCCTCGCCCGACCGCCACGTGGCGGGA